CCTGGAAAATAACGCACCTCGCTGAACTTCAGATCTAGCCCAGACACCCTGAGTCAGCCCTGTTATGTTAGAAAAGCTTGATCCAGCAAAAATGGGCAAGAAAAAGAAAAGAAATTAAAATGCTGGAAGAGTGAATGATAACTATTTGCACTCGTGTCATGCTCCTTCACATCCCTACCATGCTGTGTGCCACAGAAGGATGCTGCGTGCAGCAACCCCTGTGACCAGACTGCTTTGCTTGTAGATAGAGAAGAGGGGAGAAATAAGTGTGGGAGGCTGAAGAGTCTTGATTTGGATCATCAGGAGAAGAAGAGAGTAACTCCAGACAGGCAGCTGGAGCTGGCCTGCAAAATGCAGCCACTTGGCTGCACAGGAGAAGCCCTACACCACAGTCCTAAGCATACTCAGTGCGCAAAAGTTAAAAGCAATTGAAAGAGAACCTTAATGCCATATTAAATGTTGATTCATACGTGGCTGGAGCCACTGTGACCCAGAGGGCTGTTGTTTGATCCAGGTCTAAAGTGACAAATTGATCTGTAAATTATGCCAGTTCCCATGAATGGCAAAAGTCATCAGATAGAAACCGGCCGTGAAGGGTGTGACTTGGGGCTGGAGCCACGTCCTCCTGGTGTGCGAGTGCACGGCGGGCAGCGTGAGTCACTAATTGCCCTTGGGAATAGCCCTCTGCAAAGGAGTGTTATCAGCACCTCTCCGGGCCCGAATTGTTCCCCACACCCCGGGTCTCATCGCTGGTCGCTAATGGCTGGGAGTTACGTGCATGGGTTCAGTTTCTTCTGCTTGAGAAAGGGGCAGCTTTAGCAAAGAATTGCTCCCGATCTGGCCCACGCCAATGGTAAACAGCTTTTGCTTCATGAATGGAAGCCACAAGGACCATCCTGACACCATTTTTTATTGTTGTAGCTTGTTTTCGGTCACTTGAAAAATAAGGAGTATTTTTTAGGAAATAGATGGGATTTTAAATGTATATCAGATGTTTAGGCCAGACGCTTATTGAGCCAATGAATCACTTGCAATTGAGAAATATTTGCTTTGTCCACATGTTACTGCCATTAGGAGTGCTTTTGTCATGGAGCAGATGGAGGAACAAGTCACTCTCTGAGCAGCAGAGTGAATTGAATTGGATTTTCATCAGCTTTCTCCACAGTGGATTCTCCGACCTTCAGCTTTTCCATGAGTGGAACCGCACTGGTCTCTCTTGGTCTTCCTGTCCCCTGCTCTTCCTCTCCCCCTTATTGCTTCCTTTTATGCAGCTGTGTATTTTTCTCAGACTGTAAAACTTAACATCTCGCAGTTTGGTTTGTCAAATTTGGTAAAAATTGTGGCCGACAGGATTGTACAAGTTTTAGTCCCCTACAATGCTAAATACGAAATGGTGTAGGCTTTGCAGCTAATTTCTGATCAGTACCATAAATAAGAGGAATTATCTTAAAGTCAGTGATCAGTAATGAGAATTAAAAGATCAGTGTCATCTAACCGAAACAAGTTCTCATTAATAACGAGTTCTCATTAATATAATAATAGTAAGTACTGTCTGCCTTGTTTTCCTATACCTCTGAATTGAGGACAATATCTACAAAATGTCAGAGGTGTTGAATTTATAGTCCACTCATGTTTATAAAATGTTTACAGGCAGACCACTGTACTTCATAAGTGTGTTATTATTATCCCAGCTAGGTCTGCAGAGAAAAAGAAAGTTTTCTGAAGCACCCAAGTAGCAGTCTTTATCCCAAATTAAAGCTGGATATCAAGAAGGTAAAAAAAAAAAAAAAAGATATTAAAGATCTTCAACTGTGAGTAGTTTAATGTTTTTTTCCACGTAGATTCAGAATGACATCATTCTTCTAAGAAGCGAATATGCTCACATGCTCTTACATAGATTAAATTCCATTATATATATATATTTTTTTATTTCTGATGTTTTTATTTCTGCTGGTGGGCTTTGGGTGGCAGTAGGGCCACTTCTCTTCTGTGACACCTGCTTAATCAGAACTGGCTGTAATATACGGGCTGAAATTTGTGTCTGGGTTATCAAGACCGTAACAGCTTTAAGGATTCTGGCACCAAGCAGAGTAACAAGTGTCACATTTAATCTAGCTTAATTATTTAGTTCTGTGGATAGTTCATTGATGCCATTTCAGCAGTAGGTCATGTAACCATTTCCCCAAAGCTATCTGCACAACAGGAAATCATGAAAGCTTTAGACGTGTGCCAGCTGAAAAATTCCCCGCTGAAGTGCCATGGGGTTTTGCTTTATTTTTGCAGTAGGTGCTTTTCCCTGAGCTCATGGATGAAGAAACCTCCCAGTCATCATTCCTGGACTGGAACTGGACCAGAAAGGAGAAGCTAGACAATGCAGCAAAGTTGACGTTTTGAAACTACTTCCAGTTATTTAAACAAATCTATTACCTGTTTGAATACCGGGAAGTACTCCAGGACTTCAACAGTTTATAATTTTCTCTTGACTAGCTCCCCTGGTTTATTTTCCCAGGCCTTGTAGCTGCCATCTTGAAATGTTCCCATTCAGGCAGACGGGTCCCTGTTTTTGCTCTGTCTTCAACCCTGCGATATGAGGGCTGGGATGACAGCCCTGCTGTGTTATGCATCCATCCTAAAGGCCTTTTATTCAAGGTTCAGGTCTGCAAAATCGGGGAAAAGAAGCTGCAGGGTGGTGGTGAGCAGTGGTAGCCATCCTCGCTTCGAGGAGAGGTGATAAAACTTGGCATTCAGTGACCACAGCGGGAGATGGAAGGAGCCAAGCTGCCTTGCTAGGACAGGGAAATGTGCAGTGCTCTGAGGGGTCTTGCTCAGGACATTTAGGAAGGGTGAAGTTGAGCCCTTGTGGATGGGCACATTATTGCTTTGGTCGCAGTGGGAAATTGCTGAGACATGCTGCTTTAGAAGAAGGATTTAAGAGCAGCTTGATACATACACACAAGTGCTCTGTGGCATAAGCAGCTGTATTAATCTAACAAGTTAAATAAATAATAAAAAAAAAGTGTTGTGAGGTTTGACAACTCTCTTTCCTTTGGGCTAAAAACCAATTTCTCGTTGCACCTTTAATTCCCCTCCTCTCTCAATAATAAAACGATCCAGTTGGCCAGGTGCAATGTCAGAAAGTGGTCCGTGTCAAGCAGCAGCATTGGCTGGTGTCCACGGGGCTTTATTAAATAATGGAGTACCACGGCAAAATGTGACACAAGCCCAATGTGACTGACCGCGAATAAATAAAACACTGGTCTTTGACCACAGGGAAAAACTTGAGCTATTTTGCACACAAATCTCTGGCCCAGACATTCCCTCTGGGGGAAGGGAAATTTTGCTCCTTTAACAATATTAACCAGACCTGTGTCCTAGGCAGCACTGTGCTTGCCATTTCGTCTTTTAGCAGCATTTTTCCTGAAGCGTTTTTCCTTGTACCTGCCCCTGGTACAAGGTAAGGCTTGGGGCAGTAATCCAGCTGCAGAGGTCTTGTCTGCACCTGAATGTGGCCAGCAAGGCTTCCCTTCCAGCCCTACTACTGGGGGGTTCTTCTGCTCTGCCTTTTGCTCCTTTACAGCCTACCCTTCATGTGCTGGTAGGGCAAAGCTTAGCATCAGAGTCCTCTGTGCTGTCCTCTCCTACCTGTCTGGATTAATAACACAACTTCTGACTGGTTTCCTTCCTCAAGTCATTATACTAGCAGTGTATCTCATCTTCTACCAGGATTTGGCATTTTTGGTTTTCCTGTTGCTTTTTTGTTGCTGGTGTTGTTTTGTTTTTTGAAGAAGGATGGGGACAATTGTTTCCAAAGAAGCCAGCTGCTTGGAGTAGCTCTTTGCTGAGATGCCAAGATGGGCATTTTGCAGTAGATTTTTCAGCTGCTTAGATGGTTGGTGACAGAGGTGTTTCAGTACGGATTCTGATGCAATTAAGAACACATGGCTTTTAAATATTTGATCTAAGACCTCTAAAGAATGACTGAATTGTACTGTCAGAAGCCCTGATCACCGCTTCCAGCTCCACTTCAGTCTTATTTCCAGTGTTTTTGCACTTCTGAATATTCTGTGATTTGTGTTCTTGAGTTTGCAATTTGCAGTCACAAGGGAAGTCCCCTGTGTGCTGAAGGGCCCTTTCCTATTGCATTTTAGCTTGACATTCCTCACCTCAGCCTGTTCCTTCATTCAGTTTCTGTGAACGAGGGGACATTCCCGCTGAGAAACATCTTCCTCCACAGCATGAGCCATGGCTGGGGGAAGGACACCTACCTCTCAGCTTGAACACAGCTCCAGCCAGGTGGTAAAGGCAGGCCAATGCAGTTCCTGGCAATATTAAAGTTTGGTTTTCCTCTTTTCTTTTTCTTTTTTTTTTTTTTTTTTAAACTTCATTCCCTTTCCTTTCCAGGCCACTTGGCTATGGCTCTTGATCTTCTCTTTCTGACCAGCCACTGTTGAGCTTATAAAGTTTTGCAGAGGCCACGCTGGAAAAGAAAACCTGTTCTGTTTGAAAACCGCTTTTATTTGCATTTTCCTTTACATGGTATGTAGAAAATTAGTCAGTCATGTGTGAGGAGAAAAGCTAACATCCCTTGTAACCAAGCAGTTGAATGCTCTATATACCTGGGCAAACAGGTTGTAGAAGCTGCAATTAACCACCTCTGACTGTATAGTAACTTCAAGTTTCCAACTTTCATGGCCACTCATTGGTGTTTGCAGAGCATTCCTAGAGCATATGGTAACCTTTAGCCCAGCGCTAACCTTCAGGAATAAGTGCAGGATCTCTGTCAATCCCCTGTGGGGCATATGGTTAATATTACACCCTAGCCAAGCTCTTTTTTGTTTGTTTGTTTGTTTGTTTTTGCTCTAAGTACGTCTGAGTCCGCCAGCTCTCATTCAATATCGGCTCTAGGGCTGCCAGAAGAGCTACGTTGATAGTGAAATACAAAGCCCCTCGATTGCAAGACCGTCACACATAGGGTTCTCATTATGCCGGGTGCCTTGCAGACACTTAAAAAGCAGCAGTTCCTGCCCCACAACGTGCTCGCCATCTGAAGAAGTGCCACAGAACAAGGGGAGGAAGCAGCGGCAGAGAGCAGTCCTGCGGGCACTTGTGTGCGATGACACAGCCGACGGCCAGGCTTAGGACCCAGAAGTCCTCGGCCGAGCTGCCTCCCTCAGCCGCTATGTTCCCAGGGTTGGTTGTTATTTTAAATGTTTGTGAAACATCTGCATGTATGAAAGAACAAATCATAAACCAGTTGCAGTTTTCGGCCTTTCTGTTCTGTCATAAGCATTGTTTTAGGACCAAGGAAGAGGGACAGAAAGATCTGTTAAGCAATATCCCACGAGCAATATAAATCTCCTGAGAAAATAATGTGGCTTCTTCATCCTATCTGACTCCTGAAAGGCCTCCGTCCCTCGCAGGATGGTACACGCTCAGGTGTCCCAACACCGCTGTGCTGGGCAGGCGGCGGAGCCCAGCTGTGATCCTGGCAGGGCTCTGGAGAGGGGACGGGAGGCAGCGGGTGTCCTTGCCTCCTTGCTAGCCTTTGGACTCTGTCACATCTTTTGCTGCAGTTTAAAGCAGACAAGGATGTCTGTATGGAAATTAAATCTCCCTCCTAAGCATTGAAGAAGGGTGTAGTTATGCCTGTGCCTCCTTATTTCAGTTGTTGCCACATTATGTTTTACCTTCGTGCCTGCCAAGTGTTTATTTTGCTCTTCTGCTCCCATTAAACAGAACATGTGGGTGCTCAGAAGCCTGATGCTGTGAATGAACCAAACCAGGCAGCGCCTTTCATCCAAACTCATGACACAGGACAGTCGCAGGAAGGCTGGCAACAGAGCATGCACTGAGGACTTGTACCTACAGAGGTGGCCAAAGTGGTCAACAGCACCCACATCCCCGTTTCCCCGAGGTGCCTTTGGAGTTGCTGTCTGTCTGCAAAATTGCCTTGATAAGACCTTCTATCTGCAGGTTTCTCAGCTCTGCAAGCACCAGTGCTCCCCACAGCGTCCCCACCCACCAAATGAATTTTGTCCCCATCTAGCACAAGTCTAGGCTCTGGGTGCCTCAGAGAGCCAAGCCATGGACTTTCAAAATTGAGCACCCCAACAAAAGATGACCCAAATCTAAAGGACTTTTTTGAAAATCTGAATTCTAGCAACTTTCCCTGAAGCTACAGTGACTTGGCGTGAAACAAAACCTGTTTCACAGTGCATGGAGACAGGCAGCTAAATGTGTCAGTGCTCTCCCCACCTGATGATCTCAGCACTGAAAAACTGCTGTTTTTGGAAAACGTGGGTCCAAGCTCTCTGAAGCATGGCTGGGAGAGGAACTGCAAGACCCAGTTGGGTGTCCTTCCCTGCCCTCCCCCCGGCTGGCCATCTAGATTAGGATAAGAGCTGAGTGGGTTATTTTTCCCATGACTTTTTTTTTTTCATACCTCTGCCATGGAAGCAGGGTAACTGATGGAAAAGTAAGTGACCTGAGCAGTTGCTGAAGGAACTGAGGTGTGGGGAAGTGAAGGAAGACAAACTGTCGGAGAGTAATGATTTTTGCTCAGTTTCTAAGTCAGTCTCCCTGATCGTGACTGTGCGCTAATTTAAAACATCAAGAGCTTAAAAAATGGCTGCCTAAACCTAAAGCCCTTCAATGTATAGATAAGCATCTAAGTAGAGGGCCTGTGTCAGTATGTGGCAGGAGATGCATTCACTGCAGTGGGTTTGGGCTGGATTTCTGAAAAAGCCCCAAGCGTCCACCAGCTCCCACTGAAGTCTCTGTTAAAAGTATTTTTCCATTTCCTGAAGTGCTGAATTATGGACTTAAAACCCCAACTTCAGGCATCAGTTTGTCTGTGTGAAAGATCTTGTAACAAGTATAATAAAATAAATTGTACTAATATGATTTATGGCTTTTTTAATTTCTTCTAGAGAATAGATTGAAAAAATCATTTTTTAAAGAAAAATTAAATATATTTTTTTGATATTTCTCAGCCAGCAGGGATTGTACTGGGAGTAGTGCTAGCAGCTCTGGCCTCCCAAGCTCTCCTCTGAACCAGGCTGATGTCCCCAGGCCCACATAAGAGTAGGGTCCTGCAGTTGGTGCTTTGTGCCAGTAGGAAGTGGTGACGAGCCGTCCCTGTCCTCCCAGATGAAAGATGTGTCGAGGAAACCTTTGAAATCTCCATCCTCACGTCCTCCTCTTTCCAAAGATAAATCTTTCCCATGCAAACCCTGCCCTCAGTGCTCCACTCTGCCCACTGTGTGTGCCAGGAGAAGACATCTTTGAGAAAAAAAAGACAAAAATGCACCCAAAAAAGCCCCTGGCCACAGCAGATCTGTTGAAACCCTGCTGCATCTTTGCTGTTGCAGCTTCAGCCTCCGGCTGGAGGGCCACATTTCGTTATTCCTAATTAATAGCATCTCGCGGGGCAGCTGGGCAGCACCACAGGCCCCGTACCAAGCACTCCCTCCCACCGTGCCCCCCGTCCCCGCTCTCTGCTGCCTGCCACTTTGTTATACCTTTTGTCGCCATCTGTACCTGGTTAGCCGGAGAATGTTTATTATATAATTTAGTTAACTCTCGACTCGCGAGTCTGCCTGTTTGATGTGCCCTCCTGTTAATGCAAAGCACACCATTACTAGTTAATGATCATGAACTGTCATCGCAGTCACTTTGAAAAGGTGACAGTGACGAATGGAGCCAGCGGCTCCCAGGGAGGTTGATCACTGAATGGACAGTAAAGTTTATTTAAGCCCAGGCCTGATAATGGCTCTGCATATTTCAGATGGGTTGTTTCCAGCCCCTTCTGGGATAGCAGACATTCCCCAAAGCGATGCGGCCTGCTGCCCCCCCATGGCCCCCTGCCCTGGGCTCCTGCCTGGGGTAAGACAAGGAATCGCCCTGGGTTGTGCATCTGCTGGCCAAATGAGTGGAAATCCCTGGGCAAAGTTTCCTCAGAGCTTGGCAAAGAAAGGCAAAGCCCCTCACGGGGTAGTTTCCAAAGCCTGACAGCTCCACAGGCTGGGGACTGGGCCCAGCTTTAATGTACCAGGGCTTGTTGGCTGAGCTGGGGGCTCTTCCCTAATGTAAGCAGATCAAAGCCATAATTTCTTTTCTCTAGGACAGACGTTTATCCCACAGTGCTCTAACCAGGAATCTGGTTTCTGCCTTAAGCGATGCAGGTACTTCTGCATTTTGGGCCTATCCCGAGATTTTCACTAGGACCAAGCGCTGCACGGGAGAACATCAGCCTCAGCAAGGGCCGCTAAGCTCAGCTCTGCGTGGGCTCTCCGTGCCCTGTTCTGGCCCAGGCACGAAGGAAAGGGGCTAAAAACAAGCCCCAGGCCTTGCTGTGCCTTTCTCAGAAAAAGCGGTGCTCTGGGGCTGGGAGCCTCGAGGTCCCAAGATAAACAAATCTGCCGGTGAGAGTGACCAGCGCTGGGTCAGGCGAAGGGTCGCTCGAAGGTCAAGCCGCCCCGCAGCCTGCATGTTTCGGTTGTGTATTTGCCTTCCCGAAAGGCAGGCGGTGCTGGAACGACCCCCAGCATCAAGGACACCCCCGGGGACACCCCCCTTCCCTGGGGAAAGACCCCCGGCAAAGCGGGGTCTTGGTGGCACTGCGGGGAGAGGGAGGTGGCCTTTGTGCCAATGTGGGCAGATCTGGGGGCAGATCGAGGGGCGAGGGGCAATTTATGTGGATGGACCCCCCTGGCTTTCATTTTAATGCATGCTGAGTGGGAGATGCTGGTGCTGAACGCCAGGCAGGATTTCTCAAGCCTGTGTAAAATCCGGAGCCTCAGCACCTGGGAGGAGCTGGTTAGACCCAGCCAGGCTGCCAGGTTGCACTGCCAGAGCATCACACGTGGGGAAATCAGATCTGGCTGGAAGAGCTGGAGGTTACTGAATACCTGACAAAACAGAGAAAATCCGAGACACTCCTCACTATTTTCTTTCTGTCCTCTGAGTCTTTAGAAGATCTCTCTTTCGAGCTTTCCTGTGCAGCCAGGAAGGCTCAGATGGCCTCTTCTATTTTCTGAGGCACTGCAAGTAGAGACATTTGATGGGAGGACCTCAATAAAAACATCAGGGATGACATATCTATGCCCACAAAGGTTGCACAGCTGTAACACTGAGAAACCCAGCGGTACCTGCCATCACCCAGGGTGCACCAAGTTCTTCTTGTCACACTGGTCAGGGCATGCTGGCTACAAACAAGCCAGTGATTTCTGCAGTTATCATACAACAAAAAATTAACAGCAAATAGATGCTCTGGGGCTAATCTTCACCTTAGCTAAAAGTACTCTTGCCTTTCTGTAGCAGTTCTCATCCACATATCTCTGGCTGAGCCTGATGGAGATGCTGGCTGAACCTAACGTGAAGAAGGACCTTTTCCATCTGCTTGCTCTGCTCTCTAAGACCTGTTATTCATTGCTGCAAACCAATTTCATGGTTGTTTTGTGCTTTGCCTCAATAAGCACAGTCCTGTGAATGTCTGGATGTCCAGCTTGCTCTCATGGCTCTTCTGGGATGGTCCTCCCCAACCCCACGTAGCCACATGGACACACTCACAGGAAGGCTGGCAGGGTGAGGTGAAAAAGGGACATCCATCTGCACAGGACAGGTAGTCCTTGAAGCTTTAATAAAAGTGGCCAGATGAGAAGAGGGCAGAAACTAGGGGGACACAAAAAGGCTGTGGCGGGGACAAGAATGACTGTTTGTTGCAGCCTGGGTAGAGCCACAGCCTGGAGGGAAATGGTGGAGTATTTCTAGAGACACACATAAACGTCTGAAACAATTACACCAAGAGCATTTATTGCTACATAATTTGTGTTCACTTCTCCATCGTGGTCACAGGATCCATGACAATATTTTGGGGCTTCATCCACATTAGGGGGATGGGAGGGAATTTGTTGTCCAACAGCAGCTTCTGGACGATCTGCTGATACATGGTACTTGTTCGGCGTGATCAAAGCTGGAAGGTGTTAGGTCCTAGCTGCACGAGAAAATCGTGTCAATGAAAGCAAGCAATGATTTGTCTTGAGTTTAAACAATATCAAGCATTGCTTTCAAAGCAAAATAAGGACACTGCCACAAGGGAGGCACATTAAGTAGCCCATTTATAAACCGACATGGCTTTTTCTGGTAGACAAGCCTATAAACCACTCGCTGGTATCTCAAATGGCAAGTTATCATGCACATTTAAGCGGTAACAATGGGCTTTTAGGAAAAATAAATCAATGAGTGGAATTAATGATCGCTTTCATTGTCAAAACAAATGTTTTAAGTGAGCCACGGGGAGGGAGGCGAATTATTCTCATGCAGCCCTGAGGTTTGGGGGCGATGCCAGAGAGCTGCTGGCCGCCGAGGGCTGTGGCACCCAGGCAGTGCTGGCGTTGGTGGCAGCGTTTCAAAGCGGAGCCACGTCCTTCGCATCACCTCCCGAGGTGCCTTCATCCAACAGGGCTGAAGGTGGCCGACCTCGTCCCCCAGCTGCTCCGCCAGCCCTGTGCACCGAGGGCAGGCGGGGAGGCAGCTGTCCTCTTGAATTTGGGCTGAGACATTTTGCCCAAGTGTCTGCAAACATTTAGACACAGAACTGCTGCTGCTAACTGCCAGCCCATTGTCTGCGAGTGACAGTTTTCTCTGAAAGTTACTTACCAGGGGGCGAATGTTGATTGAGCAAATGAACACAAAGCGGGCCGAAGCCGCTGGCTGTGAATTGTGCTGCTGTTAGTTTAAACAGCTTGGAGAGAATTGCCTTTATTCGGGGAAACGGGGGAGGAATATTCACGGAGGGCAAAATTTGCCGGCAGTGACTAGCACGGGGGCGAGATGGATGGATTGTTCTGCCGTGATTGAGATGTGACCCTGGCCGTGCTCATTGTGCAGGCTGTCCCTCCTTTCCCATGTGATTTAACCCAGGGCTTCTCCCTCCCCCATCGTGGTCTTCATCCTTCTGCAGTGCTGAACCTGTGCTCATCCCTCCTGCAGGCACAGCGCCATCAAACCGGTGGTTTCCTCTGGCCAGGTGGTTTCCTCCAGCTCGGATGCGCTCAGGAGGCTCCCAAAGGTCTGCACCGGTGTGCTAACACCCGAGTAAGCACCCTGGAGGTGGGGATCAAAGGGTCTCTGCTCCATGCAAATGCACACTGAATCCCCCTGGCTGGTGGAGGTGCTGGGGGAATGGGGATGAGAAGCCACTGCCCGTGCCAGGGCTTGGCCACTGCCAGCTTTGCTGTGCATGTGTGGGAATGGTTGCACAGGTAAGAGGAGTTTCCACGGTCTGACACACATCACTGCTAGTGTTAGAGGCTTTGAACAAGAATGGCTTCCCCGTAGTTGTGCTTGTCACAGCCTTATCCTGAGACCTTTTCTCACCTCTGCCACCGCGCTCGCTGTGCCTAGGTGCCTAGCGTGAGATGAACAACTTGGCCTACAAAGAGGAAGGTGGAGAGGAGTGAAATCCCTGGGCATTCAAGGGGGTGGGGAAACCAGGACCCAAAGTGGATGATGTCTGATCAAATGAAGGCAAGAAGAAGATTTAATAGAGATAAAACACCTGATAAATTGACAGCTGCATTAAATGGGATTTGGGCTGATTCCACTGGGTAATTTGTTAGTGTGAGACATTGTGGTTGCAGACAGACACGAGCAGAAAGAGTTATTTATTTTATCACGGGAGTTTGCTCAGAATAGGGGGGATCTTCCTGCCTCGTGGCCTCTGGGGGGTGGCAGAGTTGGTGCTCTCCGAGTTTCCCAGGGAGCAGGATATGAGATTACAGCAGACAGGAGCTTGTAGCTGATGGCATTACAGCTGTTTTCCCAAGCTGGTGTGAATGGAGTAAAGCAAATCCTGGACAAAAGGGCAAG